GCTGGGACGTGAACTCTCTTCCTTCCCCAGAGTCTTCTGGGTTTTAATGGGTTATTGCCGCGTGGAGGAGAGAAATGTATCAGTTACAGACATGTGGAACTGGTACAAAAATATGGGTTTTTTTTCTCCCTTTTGGTTCCAAGTATAGTCTTGCATGCAGAACAGCTGAGGTGACCACTTTGCAACAGAAAGTGACCTGAATTAGGTTGTTCTAGCTAAAAAAAAAAACAAGTGGAGAGACCCTCAGGAATGTCTTGTGAGTGGGGTAGAGACCTCCCTTTTAAGCACTTTGATAGATTATGTTTTTCCCAGTGTAATTAGGAGGATGAGAAATGTGCAAGGAAGGAGAGAAATTTTGGTGTTTTCCTATGAGGGGGCTTTTTTTCAGCGTTAGCGAAGAATGATGTTTGTGGAAACTTGGCAGTTTTGTAATACAGTTAAGTTAGAAAGCTCTGATAGATTGATGTGTGAATTTGAAATATAGCTATGTGGCTTATGGCTTCTTGGAAACTACCTTTGGAGGAGGAAAATTCCTGGAAACCAGTTGCAGGTGCTGTCCCTAGTCATGCTACCTTTTTCTGAAGGGGACTAGTCTGAATTTTCCCGTTTACACCCTTTTTGTTGGAGCTGGCTGTGAGGAATTTCTTAGCAATCCTCTGCTGAGAGCCGAGAGCTGCCTTAGCCAGGATGTGACTTTTGCCTCTGTAGTCTTTGGAAACATTCCTCAGCGGACTTTTCCCCACTAATCCTGTTATTTCTTCAGTTTGCAGCCCTATCTTCCCTTATTGTGTTTGCTGCAGCCTGCGACCACAGCTGCGTGGCTCTGCTGCTGATGGAATGTGCCCCTTGTGAGCCTGGGCTTGGGAAATTGTTTAATTAATTACTTGACGAGCTAGCATCCTAGTTAAGAACAGGGCACAAAAGTACAACTGTCCTTGTGACTTTGCAAGGAGATATTTTCTTTTCCTGCTTTCGTATGTGTCCGTGATATTTTGCGAAGTTGTTCGAGATCCTCAGCTGTAGCAGAATGCAAAAACGTTAGTTTTTCATTATTATTAAGTAAAGCTGAGATAACTCCATCTGATTATTTTAGATTTGAGCCTGTTTTCCCATTTTATGATATGTATGTTTTGTCTTGTCATTCTTTTAGTCTCTTATATTTACAAATTAATAGTTGGGGTAGAGGAGAAGGAAGGACGTCGTCATTCCTTCTCTTGGCCAGAGTGGAACTAAATACATTAACTTTCCTTGTGCCTGGTCGGGAGCACAGGCCTCCCTTCCGCGTTGAATGCAGGTCTGTGTATCTTTGTTCAACATATACACTCATGCCTTTGCATTGTTCCTCTATAGATAAGAATTACATAGTTGTCAATTCTTTATTAAAACACCCAGGTTCTTAATAGGAAGTAAAGCTTTTTGTGGAACTTCTGTTATTGTTTCTTGCTTTTTAGGGGATTTCAAATTAGTCAACAATTAAAAAGTGAGGAAGGAATCTACTTGAAGTGGATTTAATCCATAATTTCGGACTCTTCTCATGAGAAGATAGAAGGAAAATGAAAATGCTGATGACTGATATTTACACTGCTGTTTCAGGAGTTTTCCAGCCTTCATTTTTGCTAGGGGGAAATCAGAGTTATCTGTGCACAGAAACACACAGTCCTTGTTCTTCCCTGCTTTTCCTGTGAGTTGGCATCACCTCTTCCCTGTGAAACCACAGCCTGTGATAACGATGAGGAAATCTTAGCTGTTCTTCCCAAAGGCTTCACTTCCTTTCTGATTGTTTTCTCCTCATAGAGAATCTGCTACTAATATAATACGCGATTCAACCCTCCAGAAGAGTTTCTAATAAATTTAGCTGCTTATCTCCCTCATATAATGAGTTGTTAGTAGCAGCCGTCTGTAAAATGAAGATAAGCTGTCCAAATTTGAGAGAACCTACGTAGGCAAGGGCGATGGAGATAGTGATTTATCTGCGCATCCAGCCCTGCCACGGCCGTTCTCTTTTAAGCGCCCTCTCTTGCGTGTAAAACTTGCGTGTAACTAATCAGAGACTTGACGTTTCCCTTTGGCTTTCACATGTGTGTGATTGTAGATATTTTGATGAAGGAAGCTGATAACTCGATGGAGGAGAGGTTGCAGTCTGGGTGCATGAATGGCTGTATTGAACTGTGAGCCCTGGCAAGCGGGTGGAAGGTGCGGGACAGAGCAGCATAGCTTCACATTTCGGGTGCTCTCTAGGTGAGTTTCTTAACTCCTTTCAGGCCAGAGGCTGCCTGACTTGATACAGAAAAAAAGAAAGTACTATGGAGTGTTTCCATAGCTAAATTTTTACAGCTAATGAAAATTACGCTGCGCTTTGAATGCTTGTTTCAAACTTTAATTTCCCATCTTCTTGTCATCTTGTTTACATATGTGTGGGCGTATATACATAACTTCCACACTTGTTTTGTGTTATACTGGGCTACTTCTTCTGTGGAGAAGGCATTGAGAAATTCTGCTGTAGTAAAAGGATAGCTTGCACAAAGAGGCTTTACTGCACTGTGTCTGTTGTCGCTGCTTCCCTGTGTTCCAGTGGGTCATTCCATTCCCTGTTTTCTGCATTTCTTTCCTGCCCTGTGTATATAAGTCTTTACCAGGTGTTGACTTGCTGGAACCAACGGGAACATTTTCAAAATTCGCTGTTCTCAAGCAGCGAGTACGTGAAGGGAGGTGTTAAGTATCTTGCTGCAGTGGATGTAAATCCTTGCTCTGGGTGAACGCAGGAGCTCATACCACTCAATTCATGCTGTTATTCAGCAGTCCCAGCGGGATTCCTGAGGGTATTCCAGAACTGACCCTTTTGTCAGCAGATTGAAACCCAGGCTCGTGAGTGCTCCGGGATATGTTGTTCTACAGGCCTAATGTTGATGCTGCAACGGTGCTTTCCAAAGCAGTCATCTTATGTCTCCTCAGGCCTGTGTTTGAGGATGCAAGTTCACCTTGATGGGCTGGGGAGCCGGGAGCAGGGTTGTGGTGCTTGTGCTGACCCCGTTCCGTAGGACACGCGTCCTGGCCACCCCTGCGTGCGGGGACCCTTCCCTGGGGCTCCCTCAGAAGCAGGAACCGGAGGGTTGGTGGCAGAGCACGTTGTGTTCGCTGCCTTAGACAGCGTGGATGGACAGCAGAAATAACCAATTCTCCCGCATCATCTTGTTTCACTGATGGATCTTGAGCAAATAAAACCAAGAGTGACAAGAGTCTGCACGCAGAAAACCTCTGCTTTGGAGCTTGGGACTGTCTAGTGCTTTTTGCTCTGCTCTCCTGAGTGTATTCCTGACACTTGCCTTGATAATAGATGTTTATCGCACCCTGCTGCCCATCAAAGGTCAGCAGAAGGGAGGATTTTACCACATCAGAAAAATCTTCTCCCTTACTATCTCTATTCTGAGTTTTCTTTCCTCCTCCTTGGAATTTACCTGAGAAGTGGATACAGAGAGATACTGCTGGGTAAGCTGAGAGTATCCCATGTTGATATGGAGTTGGCCTGTGTTGTAGTACTACAAATCCCTGGGAAGTGACTGGAACTTCTCCGAAGCTGTTACCTAAGTGGAGTTGGTAGGTGATAAGCTGTTCTGCTCAGGTGGAGGTGTTGAGACTTGCTTCTCTGAATCACCTGAGCGGGAATCTGAAGCCTGATGAGACATGTGGGGTAAGGTCACTTGTCCTGGGTTTAGGTTGGTTTGCTTAGGCCATTTTATGGAATGGAGGATGGAGTGTGTGCTCTAAAGCTGAGTATCTGCTGAATCAGAATAACTGTTTTCCTTGTTTATCGGGGCCTAGAGCATGTGAAGGGACAGGTGGGAATTTTTCAGAGGAGGACAGGGCTTCTGAGTTAATGACGGGAGTCCTTATTTTACCTCTGTGAATTTCTTAGGCAGTTATCAGCCTTGGGAGCAATGTGTCCAAGCTTGTAGGACTGGCTTAGGTTCTGCAGTGCATCTTTATTAGCCAGAAGTGGGGTGACTTCTGCACACAGGCAAGGAGGGGATATTCAGTAAAATGCAGCTTTCCTAGTAATTTTTCTTTAGTGGGTTCAGGTTTCTTTGTACAAGAGGTTGATCACAGAACCAGTATTAAAGGGAAATATATGGAGGAGAAGGAGCTCAGTAGCTGACTGGAGAAGGGAACCTGGGTACCGTGAATAGATTCCTGGGTTATATCCATGTTTTTTACCCAGTTACTGCCTTTTATTAGTTGTAAAATGGGTAGGAAAGGGATGACTTTGCAAAACTAGTATGTTCAAAGTTGTCTAGCTGGGTTTGAAATCACTTTAAAAAGCTGTTTATTTTTTAGCTTCCAGTACTGCAATAGGTGCATCTGGGAGATGTTGCCAGAGCTTGTAGTGACCAAGGGCTTGTCTGATTGCTTGCACTTGTTAGGAATCTTTTCTTGAGCACATTGCCCTAGTAAATTACTATAATTCTTGTGCACTCTAGCCTACTCTTATAGGACTTAATAAAATTCTGTCAAATGAAGTGTCTCCTTCCTTTGTAATAACACTTCAACTTAATATATTACATTTCTGCAGTGTAGTAAAAATAATGCATTTTCTTTCCTTCCCCAGTCCTCCTTGGCAGGATCTGTAAGTGCTGAGCTAGGATTTTGCTCCTTTTGGCACATGCTGCCGTGGTGGGAGCTGGCCCGACAGGAAACGCAGGCCTCTTTGCTGATTCACAGGACAAATTTGGCCTGTGATCTTCTTTTGCTCAGTGGAGATGACTTTCTGCCTCGGTGTAATTGCTGGTGCTCCCGGGTGTTGTGAAGAGGGAGGTACCCAAGCCCTGAACGTGTGGGAAGTAGCAGAGTCTCCTGGGGAGGAGTGATCTCAGTGGTGTTCTCCTTGTGGTGCTGTTCTGTGGGAGCCCCGAGCAAGGGAACACAATATTTTAAGGTTACTTTTTATTCGTGTCATCTTCTCAAGATCTTCTGGATGGTTTTTTTTTTTCTCCTTCTAGATTTGGCAAAGCCTCCAGTAAATGAACCGAGGGAACCAGAACAGCTTCTAATGCAGGCGCCCCAGGGAAATCCACTGCTGCTTTCCCACACCCTACAAGAGCTATTGAGCAAGGATAGCGTGCAAGTGGAGCTTATACCTGAGAAGAAGGGCCTTTTTCTGAAACACGTGGAATATGAGGTTTCCAGCAAGGTAAGAATCTGTGATTCTGTAGTGTGAACAGACATCGGTCGGTGAGAATGTGTCCTCATGGGAACATCCACACAGTTGCTGGTCCTGTGGTCCAGGTCTTCTATAATGTGATAGATGTGTCGTGTGATGCTGCTTTTGACTAGGCCACTCATGATAGTCTGTTTTAAATGCAGATGCATTATGCTTTCCCAGCCTGGGCTTTTGCAGTGTAGAATATTTCCTGACTAAGGGGCTGTTGGGTGGTAGTTTTGCGAAGGGAAAGTGTAGTAGGAGGAGTGCTGGCCCACCAGGCTCTCTTAAAATCTGAGCTCTGTGTGAAAGCAAGTATGCAACACTGAAAAAATAATGTTTTTCATAACAGATAGGTGTAGATTGGGCATTTCAGACTAGATGGAGCTTGTGAAAAAAATAGGTAGGCTGAACCAAAATCCTTTATAAACAAAATCAAATCTGCAATCTGCAAATCTTCCTCAAGAGTCTAGGCCATTTCCAGTTTACTTGCCCTAATACAAATCTGTAGGTTCTGCTCTTGATATAGAGGAGACTGAAGATCATGTGTGTTTTCCTGTTCATGGAAGGGCCAGTGAAATAGCTCCCTGGTATCTTCTGTGTGTTAATGAGAAGGAAGTCCATCCTTTCCAGAGCAGACCAAGAGTAATTTACATCTCTTGGGTCACCAAATCAGCAGGAATTCAGTGACAGTCGGACTTTATGCTGTGCATAGTCAAGTAAGTGACATTTGGGTCACAATGCCCTTACAAATGCCACAAGAAGTGGTGGATGATGCAGTGCAGCTGTAGGAAGAATGGATATAGTGATGCATAGTCTTTCTGATCTGAGGCTGCAGGAGTGGTATGTGTAGTAATAGTACTTTTAAAAAATGTTTTTTACTTCTCAAATGTCTGTAGGTGCCACCCCACTCCTTTAGTGAGTAGCCAATTTCTTTGGTACATTCTACAGTTTGAGCTAAGAAATGAGAAATTCAGGACTAAGGTTTTAAAGGAGCTTTCAGACTTTGTGCACAGTCTTAACTTCAGTGTCAGGCCCCTTTTTTTCTTTTGTGAGGTTCATTTAAAAGATCAGTTGTTTAGGCTGGCCCCTAACATGGTCTGCATTTGTTTTGCCACTTCTAGGTTTGAAACTGCTTTAGAGAAAGTTCTTAAGAACTGGAGCAGAGAATTGAAGTGTTTCAAGAAACGAGCTCTCTAGAGTACTTTAAGAGTATTTACGGCCCTTCTGATGATATTCAGTACTTTTGGTTAGAAAAACACCATCAAGTTAGTTATGTTATCCATATTAATAACCAAAAGGTGGCTGACTTGGGAGTTCTTTTTCCCTCCTGCCTCTCAAGGCTCGTGGTGTTGAAAAGTAAAAAATATGGAACTTCTGAAGTGTCTGGATGTGATTATGGAATTGCTGCTGACCGTCTAGCCTGAGTATTGACTTTTTGTTTTCCTTTGCTCTGTTGCAGCGCTTCAAGTGCTCGGTGTACAGACGATACAACGATTTTGTGGTGTTCCATGAGATGCTGCTTCAGAAGTTTCCCTACCGCATGGTGCCGGCACTGCCCCCAAAGCGGATGCTGGGAGGTAAATCTGTTTTGTTTTCTTTTGACTAGAGACATTGTGGTGCAAGCATGATCAAAAATGAGACTGCTGAAAATACTTAAAAGAATACAAAGTCTATAGTTCAGTTTTGCTGAGAATTATGTGACTGTAGCATGTAATTTGGAGGCATGAGTTAATGCAATGCAAGAAATTCTCTATAGGTAAAATGTTAATCTAAAGCTTCAGTGTTCTTTTTCCCAAGGAGAAGCTCAGTGTTCAATGGTCTTTCTGACCACATTTAAGGAGTAACTTGGCAAAAGAGCATGGTAGAATTGCAGCTGTTTTTTTTTTAAGAAAACAGATTACAGTGGTTGTGATTTTATGATATTACGAGTCAAACAGTCCTCTCAAACAGCTGTAGTGTGCTGCTGCTTCTTGAAGTGATTGGATCACTAAATATTTGTGGAAATTCCATAACACATCTGTAGCAGAACAGAGAAAACACAAATTTTATATTCAGGGGCTTAGAACTGCAGAAGAAATGATTAGGTGGAGAGTGCAGTCAAGGTGTTATGCAGAAAGGACTGGCAAGCACAGTGATACTAAGCAAACTACTGTATCAGGCCACTATGTTTTATAAAACTATCTTGCACAGAACCCTGATGATGCAGACAGTGCTAATTAGATTCTCAATTTGTGTATAAAAATGTGTCTTTCTGGCAGCCAAACCAACTGCCTTACAGTAGCTGATGGTTTTGTTTGTTTGTTTGTTTCCTGCTTTAAAAAGGAACTTATCCATCTGCTTAGTTTAACCAGAAATTAAAAGCAGAGGTTGGAATCAGTGTGTCAAGTCATTCAACTACACTGTAACTGTTAGAATAGAAACCAAGGAAGTGTCTCAAGAACAAAAACCTATCAAAACATATCAAAGCTGCTTTAGATACATTTTTCATTAATCTGAAATATTGGCACTGTTTTCAGACTTTTTTTATAATTTAAAATGTTACATAATTGTGTAAAATCTTGTCTTGTTTTCTGCTTTATCTGCTGAAGAACAAGCTTTTCACTGTCTTGTCTCCTGCCCATATTGTTAAATTTAACATGTTTCAAATAAATAATTGATTTCAGTCAAGGAGTCCATGTATCCCTGCAGTAAAGGGGAACTGGGAAATGGTGAACAGAGTATCACAGAGTTTATAGTGAACTGGAGCAAAGCAAAATAAAGGTGCTGAAAAGCTTCAATGAACGTAATATTTTATAATGGAATGCAAAATGCCTTTTTTGAGGTTGCAAGAACCAGTCTGTTGAATTTGGCCTGATTCAGTGCTCTCAGCTAGAATTTCCAGACTGACAACTTCATGCAATACCTGAGAGCAAAGTAACCTTCTCCGATTAACCTCAGTGGAGGAAGAAGCAGCTGCCAATACATATTATTTGTCAGTCATTGTTATTTCTTTGTGTTGCCAGTGCTGATACTTCTGTGAATTTGCATATGTTGCTTACCAACAGATACCAGATACTAATATAATAGGACAGATTCCCAAAAGATGCTGGGTATACAGTCCTAAACAGTTTCAAAACCTCGATTCCAGTGACTACATATAGCAAAGTTGAGGAAGTCATGTTAAATAGAAACTGGAAATGAAGGGAGCAAGAAATGGAATGGGTAGATCTTTTTTTCTGTCTAGATTAATGGAACTAATAAATGGAATTTTAGGGCACAGAATTAAATAGATTCTTATACAGATCCTTGTATCTTTTCTTTTTCTTTACTCCTGATGGGCTAAGCTCTACTCTCTGTGTGTTCAGCACACTTTCATACTAAGTTGCATGCTTTAAATAATAGTCTGCTTTCATTTATCTGACAGATGAGGAAAGATTGATGGTTTCTCTGCCCATTTGGGTGCATAGCAGCAGACTGAGGCAGATAATGTAGGAAGTGAGTAGATGACTTCAAAAATCTGTATGTAGGCTGAAGTGTGAACAAAGCACAGTGAAGATCTGTGGCCCTGGCGACCTGATGAGTAATGCTGTGCTAAAGATCCCTGTAGAAGCTGCATGCAGCAATTGAACTCTAACTTAACAGGGAGGCCAGAAAATGTACTCTTTCGTGGATAAGCTTTAGCTCTTTGTTTGCTTATGTCTTTACTTTGGATATTCTCTGCTCTCTTTTGGTTCAGATTTATTTTTTTGTTTAACTTTTATATCTTCCCTGAAAAAAATAACCTCTTAAAGTCTTTGAATCGCTGACTTAGCTGCAGTGTCACCCGACTGAAACCCTTCCTGTTTCAGGAAGGAAGGCAGGCCGGACTTCTTCTAGCTGGACAAGTAGGGAGGCTTTGGGTTAATGCACTACAGACTGGCACACAGGTCTTCCAAAGTACTTTCTGAGGACATACATGAGAACGATGAGCATTGGTCTTGGGCAAATAATTGAAACAAAAGACCCCTGAAAGTGGGGCAGAGAGACGGTTGAAGGTCAAACGCTCTGGAGTTAGTTCTCTAGAAAAATATGTGGTAAGAAGTGACGTGGGAATTCACTTTGAAATTTTACTTTAGTAAAGTGGTTGCAAGAGGCTGCATGGTCTGCAATGCAAAAGCATTCAAGACTCTCGAGCAGAGTAAAATCCCTGCTGTGGACCATCTGTGGAACAGACTTGGAAAAAGAAAAATCTTTATATGCCTGTGATGTATAAACAGAGGCTCTAGGCCTTAAACTTGGGTATTTATCTTGCCTACCTAGTCTTTCTTGTAGAAGTAAACATGTATGGATGTATTTTCCACGACTGGATGTAAAGAACTCCTTGAAATAAAAGTTGTTTCAGTGATGCTCAGATGGCCATTCTTTGGTTTGCAGCACTTTAGCAGGACATATAAGTGGAAGGGAATTACTGGACAGAGTGCTTTCCTCTTTCCGCTTTCCTCCCCGAGCATCTACAATGTGTGAGGCATTAATTCAAACTCAATGTTCTTTCCTGCAGCTGACCGAGAATTCATAGAGTCGAGGAGGAGAGCCCTGAAGCGTTTTATAAACCTGGTGGCACGGCACCCCCCCTTCTCAGAAGATGTGCTCCTGAAGCTCTTTTTGTCCTTCAGTGGCTCAGTGAGTACTTGTTAAGGACAGTCTGAACTTGCATATCCTCCTGTAGCTGTTTCCCTGTGTACAGAGCTACATGTTGCTGCTGCGCATGGTGAAGATTGTTTTGTCTCTATAGGTATTTCTGCAGTTGGAAGATGAAATGTAATCTTGTTCAATGCCAAGAGCATAATGTTTTGAAAATGGTGTCTGTTCTTGGGGGAATATCTAATAGGCTTCTGCTAGGGTCAAACTTAAGCTGATAAAGATGTGGCTCACTTGTGCTATGGTCTTGCAATATATGTGACATGTATAAACTGCCTGTATTTTTTTGGTTCTTTAATATTTATTTGATGCTCTTGCTTGTCCAGGATGTGCAGAATAAGCTAAGAGAGTTGGTCCAAGGAGTGGGAGATGAATTCATGACTTGCAGACTAGCTACCCAAGCCAAGGTATCTGTATATTTCACAATGTATTATTCTGATTTAAGTGTCTCCTCCAAGTGGATCAACTGTGGTGTTTTTTGGGTGATAGACAGAAACCTTAGGCAGGAGGAAGTTGTTTGCAAAGTTAGAAGGACTTGGAAAATTCTATTTTTATGGAAAAACAAATAAATATATGTCTCCTAAGGTCTAGCTACTTCTAGCTAGATGTTGGTTCATGAATATTGTAAAGATTGAACAAAACACCTTGCTTAGAATGTGTTTTTCAGCAATTACTCATACAGTCTAGCAGACAAATGCGCATATCATGCAATTTAAAAGCTAATATCTAGATTGGTATTTACCCCTCGTGCTTGTGCCTTGATTCTGTCCAACTTCTCCCTATGTGAGAGTAATTTAGGCTGTTATAGAGGACTTCAAAAATAACCCACCTACTAATTCCTTTTCACTGAAATTTAATTACTTTGCTTATGCATATTAACAGAATTTTGCTCTGCAGGAGATGAGAGGGTGACCACTGAAGGGTTAAAAATTGTATGTGATTTCCCAATTCAAGTACAGTGCCTTTTCATGATCCTGGTGTGTGGATCTGAAGTATTGCGTTAGGAAAAAAAAATGGGTGGGCAAGTAGCTTTGCTTCTCGTGCCTCAGTTCCCACACTTCTCCATGAGAGAATGGAGAGTTAGAAGTTGAGATTTTTGAGACTGTAGTGTTACTTTGAGACTGTAGTGGTAAAAGTGCAAAGCGAGGTCTAGAGGTTACTGCTTTCTTAGAAGCTCTCTGTAAACATCTGTTTATTCCAGTGATTAGAACTATGGCAGTTTTTAAAGGCACATTCACTGTTTGAGCAACTTTGGCATGGGTTGCAGTTCAGGTTCTTCCATTGCTAGCAGAAGGTTTTGCAATCACAGCTTAATCAGGCTCTTACTAGTGATGCACAAGTCAGGAAGAGCTTAGCTGAACTCTTCAGTGCTTGTCTGACTTTGCCACGGTGGCTGTTGCTGGTAGCTTCAGGTCAGAACTTAGGAATCTGAAACCTCACAAGCCTGATTTAAGTCTGCAGTAGAACTGTAGATTTTGCCAGTTCTGTGTATTCCCTGATTCTAAGCCTCTTTCAGTCCCTGAAAATTAGATGTATTCACATAACATCTGCCTTGGATACCTAAGTTGCACAGCTAATCTCTCCAGGGCCCGTGTAGGGCAAGGGGCTGCACCTCTCCATGAGAGGGCCATTCCAGGCAAAACCTTCCTTCCACAACCTGAGTTCCTTCTGGAGAAATGGGTCTCTACTGACTGTATGACCTGCCTGCAGGTGAGATGTGTGAGTACTGATGTGTCCACAACTAATCCCTCTTGTGCTTCCTCAGGATTTCCTTCCAGCTGACATACAGGCCCAGTTTGCTGCCAGCAGGGAGCTCATCAGGAATATTTATAACAGCTTTTATAAGCTTCGGGACCGTGCAGAGAGGATAGCTTCTCGAGCCATTGATAATGCATCAGATCTCCTCATATTTGGAAGGGAACTAAGGTAGGTTGGAGGAAAGGATTTGTTAATGGGAACATTTCTGCTGTTGCTTCAGTACTCAAAACTGCTGTAAAGTTTTGCTTATCAGCAAATGTGTATCTTATAATGAAGTTTTTGCTTCCTTAAAAGAAGAGAATGCATCCCTTCCTCCAAGGAGCTCTCTGCCCACCCCAATGTATACGCAGCCCTACTTTTGTAGGGCTTCATTAGCCCTTAATTGTTCATTAGTAGCTCTGCAGGATGAACTGTTTAGACAGATGTGAAGCTCTGACCTTCTCCCTGCAGGTGGGTGTATCTGCACAGTGGACTTTAGCTCTTCGATTTAACTACTGCTGCTTTGTTCTCGCAGCGCTTTGGGCTCAGACACTACCCCGCTGCCTTCCTGGGCTGCTTTGAACAACAGCACGTGGGGGACTCTGAAACAAGCCTTGAAGGGTCTTTCTGTTGAATTTGCACTTCTGGCAGATAAAGCTGTGCAACAGGTGAGTTCTTTCCCTCTTTTTGAGAGTGAGTTGCATATCTTTGCAGGTATGCTGTAGTCCAAACACTCATCCACTCATCCTCAATTACCACTTTGCTTGTGTAAATTGGAGTGATGTGTGGAAAAAAAATGGACTGTGGTTTAAGTGGGGTTGGGGAGTATAGTGGGCAGGAGAAAGGAGGGAAAAGTGTGTTGGTTTTTTTTTCTCTCCTTTCAAAAAGCAATTGAATGAGTTAAACTCTTGCTCTCATGATCCGAATTCTTCATTCTGTCCTATGAATCTACTGCAAAGGATCCAGAAGAACTTATTTCTGAATAAAGTTTTGATGTTAATGCACTTAAACATTCCATGAGAGTCATTCAGACAGAAGTGTCATATTCTTGTGTAACTGTACAATGTGATAATGACAGAATGATGTGAGAATATGACAATCTGGAAGGGAAGAGTAATAGTTTTTGCTTCTTATCTCATTGTGTTAAAACACTCAGCATGCTTCTATAGATCAGTCACATGAGTGTTTCTCTAGGGTTTTTATGCTCCAGAGCGCTCTCTTCATACAAGAAGAAAATAAAATGTTTGGTGAAGAGAGAGAGGAGAGGAGAAAAAGAAAAGAAAAAAAAAAAAAGGAAAAAAAGAAAAAAATTGAAATTTACCTTATCTCATCTCTGCTTTCTGATGCATGAAGTATTACGGGGATCATTCAGATATTTATAGATTTAATGGATTAGCCATTTTGTAGAAAGGAAAGGTGAAAAAATGGGGGAATCGGCAAGAGCAAGAACCTCCAGGCAGGGAGAGCTGAAAGGACTGACATGCAGGGCTTGTGAAACTAACTCCTCTTGTTATAATGATCAGTCAATTGGAAAAGCTGTTCCTGCGTGTTCCTGTGTGCTAAAGACTAAACTCTCCAGTGCCATCCGAGAGTTTCCTGATGTGGTTGTGTAATCATTGATTTGCCCGGGAGAATAGCCTGCATGCTGTGGGGATGTGGAGAACTCTGATGTTGCTACTTGCCAGGCTTACATAAACTGTACTTTTTTCCCTTGTTTTCTAGGGTAAACAGGAAGAGAATGATGTGGTGGAGAAGCTGAACCTTTTCCTGGATTTACTCCAGTCCTATAAAGTGAGTTCTGCTGTTCTTCTGCCAATGAGAAAGTTGTTTAGAGCAGGCTTGTGCTCTTTAGAGGGTGTAACGCCAGCTGAGTGGAAAACTGTCTGGAAGGGCAGCTCAGAGGCAAGCTGGGCATCTGGCAGGGGAAGGGGAGTGGCTGTTGGCCACAGCCACTCTGCAGCTTTACCGATCAGATCCCATATGGTGATGAAATGTGGTGGGATTTTGCCAAGCAGCAGACCCTGCAAGGAGCCTGAAAATATGTGCTTGAATAATATGGATCAGCTACTCCTTTTCCAGATATGACTCCCTCCGAGTCAAGGCATTGAACTAGATAGCTGCTGCTTTGTGCATGAAGACCTAAGATCAGTTCCAAATGAAAAAGTTTTTGTCAATACTAGTCTCTTGTGCAGAGGTGTGTTTTTAGAAGCACCTACTTGAATGATGCTTGGCAGCCTCTCCTGATGTTGCCAGGCTTGGACAGAAATAGAAGGAAAATGGCAAGCTATTATTGCTGTTAATTGGCAGCACTTAATTTTAAAAAGGGCACAGAAGATGAGTGGTTTGATGAGGATCCGTAATGTTGGCATAAGTGATGTTCCAGATTGCTCTTAAGCTCAGTGATCTGGGTTCAGGCAGTTTTGTTTCTTAACTTGTTAGGTGCCAACATCGTCTGACCCTTTTGAAAATACAGAAACCAAAAGATCTGCAGTGCAGCAGTTACATAAAGCACAGCCATTTAAATCCACTGCTGTTCCTGATGTACTTGTTTTGCTTGCTGTGTGAGCCCCCTGCCCTGCTCCATGAGTTATCTGCTGCTTTCCTATTCCCATGAAGGACCTGTGTGAAAGACATGAGAAGGGCGTATTGCACAAGCACCAGCGAGCACTGCATAAGTACAGCATGATGAAGAGGCAGATGATGAGTGCCACTGTGCAGAACAAGGAACCAGAATCCGTGGAGCAGCTGGAGTCTCGGATTGTGGAGGTAGAGCAGAAACCCATGAGAACAAATGGTAGCGAGCTGCTGTAATGATACCATGGTGCAGCTCAGTCGTATTTGCAGAAAGCCATTCGGTGGAAGGGGGTTAACCTGTACTTTAGGTAATTTGAGCTACCTGCTGTGCTACAAGGAAAACGCATTTGTTTTCTTCAGTACTTATTTCTGGCTCTTTAGCAGCATGTCATTTGCGGGAGGTACAGAAAGTAATAATCTGTGTGATGGAAAGTGTAGTTGCTGCCATGTGAAATGGTCCAGGAACTGCCTTTTAAGTTCTTGGTGTGTTTGTGTTAGTGAGAAACACTGTTTTCTCTCGCTGCAAATGAACCTTCTTGGCATCTTATTCCTGACCACATCTCACTGAGTTTCCCTTCTTCTAGCAAGAAAATGCCATCCTAACCATGGAGTTGCGGAATTACTTTTCTTTGTATTGCCTGCATCAGGAGACACAGCTCATCCACATCTATCTGCCTCTCACGTCTCACATCTTGGGGGCCTTTGTCAACTCCCAGATCCAGGGTCACAGAGAGGTGAGTTCTCCTGGTCTATTCTTTTTCCCAAAATAGGAATAAGAATTTGAACTTTTTTTCTTTATTTTTTTTTCTTTTCCCTATGGCCCTTCCTTCTCTGATAGTCTGGCCTACTGGGATATTTCAGAACCCTTTAAGAAGTCATCAAAGGTCTCCTCAGTTGAGCTTGAGGATCAGAGATGGTTTTTTGCCCTTTAAAAAGCTGTATATCTCAGAGCAAAATTGTTTTTTTCTTCTCACATCTGAGAGATATATGTCCGTATGATAAAGACAGTTGAAGTAAACTGAAACATTAAATATTTCATTATTCTGTAATGAGGTGTTTGCTAAATAGATCTGCTTTTGGTTGTGTTAGTTAGAAATTACATGACTAGGAGGAATTTTGTTCTTTTTTGCAGAATTCAATAGCCTCCTTAGTTTATCTCTAAATGTGGTGTTCACCCTTCCCCATATGCATGCAATTCTTGCATTAGAGAAAACTCTTCTGCAATTTCTTTCCTTGCTGTCATTGAAGGAATTTGTCCAAGATGCAGGAAATTTTCCCTCCATGCATGTTCAGTAAATTGAGTATTGCCCTATAGCACCAGTCTAAAGGGGGCAACCTGGGTCTATTGGTCCTCCCCAAAGTTCTTCAGTGAATCTGTTGTGCTTCTGAGTACCTGAAGCTGTTGCTATAATACAGCGTGGTGAGATACGTGGTGAGATACAGCTGTTGCTATAATAGTGTGGTGAGATAATGTTGTCCTGTTCATTTTCTTTCCTCCCTTCCCCTTCAGATGAGTAAAGTTTGGAATGAACTGAAGCCGAAGCTGAGCTGCCTCTTCGTGGGATCTAGCAATATGCCAACGCCACCATTGTCACCTCCAGAGGGAAACTTCTTCTCCAATTAATGCTCTGACCACCTAGGACGGAACAAGAAGTGGTGTCAAGGGAGGGTGGGATCTCTACCTCCAAATGTTAGAATGAGTCCTCCAAACAGCTATTATTTTTTTATATTGCTGCTTTGAGCTGCTCTCTGAATTAGACTGGATATAGGGCAGAATATACAGCTATAAAGACAATCTCTTAAATTTGAAGTGCTTTAGGGCAGGTCTGAGTTCGCTGTCCTGCAGACATCTTCCTAGTGTCCAGATGTGACCAGTGTCATAAGTGCTGCAATTCTGTCCCGGGTGCCTCTGCATCTTGTACGGACAGTCCTGCAATATATGTCTGCACATGTGCTGACAAACACCTGGGCTGCTGAGATGAACAGGGTATCTGAAGCCCTTGCTTACCGAAGAGATATATGGTTTGCCTTTGAAGCTTGGGGGATGTATGTTAGAGGTATATGTGCATAAGGAAGGATGAAGGCTGTTCTCAGTTCCACTGCTTGGTGCCTGGAATTTTTACTGCTAGACTTTTGAGCAAAATACATGAACATACTGGTTGGATTCACTAATCCAGCTGGGTTGGCTCAGTGCTGCTGTGAGGCAGCCATTTCCCAGTGAGCCTAAGCAGGCTATATGTCAAGGTGATTCAATTCATGGTTGCAGGGCAGCCTAGGGACTTGGTTGTATTTTTCAGTTTGGGGCCAAAGATGACTGGGTTTGGGAGCTCAGAAGAGTTTCCCTAGCATAAATGAGAAAATAATTGATTGAAGTACTCCTTAATTGTACACCACTCCTATTATACAAGCAGTACAGCTACCGGTTAGCTTGTTTAGTTTCTTCTGGAGGTTCTGACATTGCTCTATCGAACAGTTGTTTAGGACAATTGAAGAGCTGCTAACCCAAAGGCTGGTGTTTCCTCTGGTAAAGATGAGATATTCTGTTGCACCTGCAGGCTAGGACATAATACTGATAAAAATTCATTAGCAAAAAACCAGTACTTATAATTACTGTTCTCTTTTCTGACTCGGGATAGTATTGGAATGTGTTTATGAAGGAGAGAAGACAACTGAAGGGGTAGTTCTTTATCTAAGAATAGCATCGTGCTTGGTAATGGCATTTTCAAAACGATTTCTGATTGTGATAAAGGGACTAAACATTTTCCATATCTCACTCTGTATCTCTGGTGACTTTCCCTTACAAAAAACAGGGTAGGATGAGGACAATTTGCATATCATCTGTTATCTCAGAAGAAATTGTGCGTATCCTCTAGAGAAACTGATAAGTGGAGAAACTGCAAAAGTCTGCAGGAAAATGCTATGTGAACCCAACTCCTCCGGGACCAAATGAGCTGCCAAAGGGGAATTGGAGGCTTGGCTGCTTAGCATTTGTTTTGAGTGGGTAAAAAGGAAGCGCATTAACGAGGATGAGTGTTTGCTATCAAACTGGAACCGTTACAGTATTTTCCCACTACGGAACTTCCCCATTAGTAAGATATGTATTTAAATCCTCCAATCACAAAATTTCTTTTTTTTTTTTCTGTTTTTATTTAGAAAATCCAGTGCAGCATGAAAACTTCATAGTCCAGGTGGAAATAATGAATAGTTTCTTCAGCTAGAAGCAAGATAGTAAGTTATTTCTGAAGATTCATAAGCCAGGCATAACTATTCCTTATATGTCTATAAATTATGTGTGTGCATACACACAAAAACACGCATACATAATATGTATGTTATACATATATAAAGAAAAAAAACTCAAAATATGGTAAAATGCACTTAGTGGTGCATTTCTTAAGTAGTGCAGGGAGTCTTGTTTAACAACATGTTCAGAATATATTACTGAGAGTCTTTTTTAGCAATTCAAATGTTACCTTTTCTGAGTCTTTCCTCTAGCCTGTTGTCCTGCAAATGCCTGTGACAGATCTGATTCTGTCTCCTGAGGTTTTCCAAAATGATGTTGGAGAGATTCTGCCCACAGGCCAGAATAAACTGGATGGGGAGAGGAATGTTTCTGTAGTACATGAACAAACAAAACATCTCAAGAATGGCACAGAACACTTTTTTCTTTTTTTTTTCTACCCTGTTTGACCTTGTATTGATGAGGAAGAAGGATTGTGGTTAAAGTGCTATTAGCATCTTGCCATGTTTTGTAAATGCTCACTCCCAGTATCTTTAGAATGTGCCAGCTGGCTATGGCGAGTTGCTTATTTAATCTGTTCTTTAACATCCATCCTCCCTTATTGAGTCTTTCTCTTTGCCTGATATGTTCAATAGTCTAATTAAGAAAAAACTGCATGTTTTGGGGGGCAGGAGGAGATCTGTTATTTTATGTGATGGATCTTCTATGTATGTTGACAACTGGGGATATGTTTTGTAGGAACACCTACAAAGTATTAGCCTAAAAGAACCATTGCACTCTTCTCACTTAATAGTTACAATTTCAGACTTAGTCCAAAGTCTAACTTGTTTTAATCACTTCCTCTTTCCTGTTCTCTTTTAAAGCAAGAATACAACAGTCCTAATGTAGAGACTATAACAATGTACATATAGGTAGACCTCAGATGTATCAAAAAACTGGAATTGTGCTGATTGGAGAAAATATCCATTTCTCCACTGTCAGCCATTTATTTTTTGAGGACAATGAATTTTGTCCTGCCTTCTAGCTCTTTTCACCTAGTATTTTGAGAACAAAGGCCTGTTCTTGTAGCTGATACAGCTAATAGCACTTTCAGAATTTATTTCCTACCGGACTGTTAGGCTTCTGTGTCTAAATGCATATACTACTTAATACAAGCTTTAGCTTGCAAACCTAATTTTTGGAAGACTGATCTGTGTGCAAATAGCAATATCATGTTTACCTCAATGAATGAGGGATATGTCCCATTTATTTTAGGGATCTGTCAGATTTGCAGAGAGCAGCATCAAGGAGAGTTTCTTTGCTCTAGAGGAATGCAGTAGGGATCAATCCAAGCTGACTTCAGTTCTCTGTCAACCCTAATCACAGTGCAGGGAAATGGAGCTAGCTACCTCCCTGTGGCTGCTTTCTACAGCCAGGAGCTTCACATCTAGCAATGGTGAGAGAAATACTTTATGAAATTATCAGTTCCATGTCTGGTAGCTAAGTAGATTGCAATAAACACTAAGCAAACGAGACTACGTGTAGAGTGTGCACTGCCCCTCCATAAACTGATGCTTCTCTAAGACTTAGCACCAAAGAGTTAACGTGCCTTCTTGGATGCTTTCTGTGTGTCTTCACCTCCTGGTGGCTTCCATGTCAAATAGTAATGACAGAAAAGGCCTCCAAGCTTTGTGTCAGTGTCTCCATCTAATATGCCCAATACCAGGTTAGTAAACAGCTGAGAGCCTGAAACTTCACATGAGAAGTGTCTTTCTTTCCGAAGGGCTATATCTTTTCCTCACTCCTATGTTACCTCCCCTTCGACCTGTTGATGTGGTATCACACAGGCTTTTTGATCAATATTACCAGAATTTCTCCTATTTTCAAAATTTCCTAATGTTGAAAGGATTTCCACCCTGTTGAATTTACAATACAATCTTGATCTTTGATGCATCTCTTGCATCTTTCTTCCTCCTTCCACATATATTTTAAGTTGCTGATGGTAGCCTGTTATAAACTGTGCCTTACTGCATTCCTGTGCTTTTACCCTTCTTTGATCATGTGAGGGTGCAATTCCAGAAATTTGTAAAATACTAATTCCCCGTCCTGTTTACTGTTTCCTAAAAGACAAAGATCACCAGCTGGGTACACACTTTTAACCACAACACTCTAAAACTGCAGCACGAGCAGTAAACAGTCACTCCTCTTCCAAAAGGTTAAGGTTAAATTCAGTGCTGGTGAAAGCATCTTCATAAAGGGCTGGATTTGGCTGTAGAGGTAAGAGATGGCATTTGCTTTTTTTCCCTACCTAACTCCTTCAGGGGGAAAAAAAAGCAATTTGAGCTCTCTGACCATGCAGTTTACCATTTCCCCCAGGAGACAAGATTACAGTGCAGGTGTCAGCTGCCAGACTCCCCTACCTACCATGCAGTAAGGTTTTACATTCTGTTACAAGCTGCCTGTCTCCTTGTGCTTGTTTTCTTTTTCCTCTTCCACTTGCCTCAAGCTACTCTCTCCATTAGAACAACCACAAACCTACAGTGGGTTGTTGTGTCAGAAGCAGAGATGAGTATTAAAAAGTCTGTAGATAAATCAGTGTGCAAAACAAAAGGAAGGAGTATAAGATATTAACTCTTATCCTCTAACTTCTGGCTGTGGCTTTCTGAGTGTATGAAGAGCGTTGTTGAGTGGTATAAATTATTCAGAACCGCTTGAGGGAGACGAGGAACAATCTTGTTTGGAGGGTGTGAAGTTTGCTCGCCTGGAATATCTTGTATCTTTGCTTTGCTCAAATAGCCTTATGTATGAAGCACTTTATCCAAAAGCAGGAATTAAACTATTACAGCAGCTGGTAGACTGGAAATGTTTACAAATCCTATATTACATTCCAAGATTCTATCTGTAAGTGTTAAATGTGTTTGTAAAAGTGTTTAAAAAAAATCTCATATAAAACTTCTTACATGTGATGTGTTATTTCTAGCAGAGTTTGCTTTAAGCCTTCAGTGCCCTGCATGCTAAGGGGGCCTGACCTGAGTGCTGACCGCATCACCTCTGGCAGGTGTGTGGCAAAGCCTGCAGCTCTGGGTGATTCTTAACACAGATCTGCTCAAAGTCGAGCGTTTGTCCAGCATAGTTCTGCTGGTCAGTACAAAATGCTAAAAACACTTGAAGTTCCCAGCAGGAGCTCCAACAGAAGGAAGAATGAAGGCAGGGCTTGAACAATGCCATGTATCTGCATCAGGCTTCTGCTTTGGACTCCTGTAATCTTGTGCTGCTATCAAGGGGAAAATCCTGAAAGGTTCCCTACTTTAAAGTTTCCAAAGGACATTCAGAGCACTGATCAAGGCTCACCTTGTCCCAGAAAGTAATGCTGGACATGGAAGGAAAGGAAGGAATTGTGTAGAGAAAATACTTAAATGGATTCTACTCTTCGCTTAAGAAGCACAGTCCCCTGCTTTATCTGTTTCATGTTCTTGCAAAAGGAAGGCAACTATTGAAACACCCTGAAAAAACCTAGAAGCTGAACAACAGTTTATAGCAGGACAAGAAATGTTTTTACTTAAAAATATTTTTATTTTTTAAAGATATTTCTAATAACAGGGAAAAAGCCTAACAAATTTCTCAAGGAGGACAGGATTAATGTTTTTAGAAGCTGTCATCAAGGCACCACAGAAGCCTAGTACAGACAGGGACTTCACAGAATGGAGGAATTTGTTACTTTTATTTCTGTTCTAAGAAAATCCTGGACGTTATTTGCCAAACCACAGGGGAATCGGTCCGCTCTGCTGGAGGGCTGAGGAAGACACGCAGTATAAGGAACAGTCACACTGTTCCCAGCACACTGTGGGCAGCAGCATGTGGCTTGAGAGCTTCTCTTTTCTTCTTAAACTTCCTCTACTTCTTTCAGAGTATGCTCCAGGATGGTGTCTTGTCCCTGGAACTTAAAATAGCCACGGAACAACTTCTTCTGAAGCACTAGGGGGAACCAGTAGGCATCATCTGGCCACATGTGATTGAATGGCACCTCATCCAGCTGGAACCACTGTGGACGCATTTCTGGTGAGAGAAAAACAGAGAGGTGCTCTTGCTTTCTTGCTGCCTGGGCTTTGGATGTCCAGCAAGAGCTTCTGTCTCCTGCCCAGCTGCCTCCCTTCTCCAAGGAATTTCAACATGAATAGTTCTGCATTACTTTATTAGCAAATACTGCCTCAGAGAAGAATGCACGTCCTTCCTTCCCCTCCTCTAACCACCTACCCTCGCTTTCTTTTGGCTCTCCGTGAAAGTCATCTGCCCGAAAGATGTGAACTTCCATGAGCTCAGAGCTGCCCACAAATTCAAACGTGATCTGCCCCATCTTCTGCAAGGTGTCCACAGTCAATCCGCTCTCTTCCAGAAGCTCCCTGCACAAGAAACAAGACGTCTTGACATGAGGGGAAGAGCACAAAGTCATTAGCTCTCCTTGTACGTTCAAAACACTTCAGTGAACCAAAGGGGAAAGTTGTCTGCGTAAAGCAGAGCAGAACCCAGCCTGCAGAGCATGCAGGCACCAAAGAGCTCGCACCAAAATATTTGTCTACTTCTGAGACAGTGGAACTGCCTTATGTGCTATTTCAAGCTCCTAGAGAGTGGTAAGAAAATAGTCTGTGTAGGAGCGGGGAGGATTCAGGGAAACGGACTGTTTGGTGTCATTTAGGTTTCTTACCATATGATCTTTTCTCAGATTTGTTAGAAGGGGACTAATGTTCAGAAATACTAAGGCTGTAGTTGGATATAGCTAAAGAACTCCAAAATATACTTTACTTAGGCAAGCAAAATACTTTGGCAACTTCAAGCTAAATCTTGCAGAATTGTGGGTTTCCCACTGCAGGTGGTTAATATATATTAGGGTGCCTGTGCTAGCCACACAATCAGCTACTTCTGAGCCTAAATGAAACTTGCTTCTGTAACGTGTTTATACAACATTACTTGCACAGGAAAAAATAGGACTATCATTTCCCAGTTAAGTGCAGGATAAAAATACAATTCAATTGTGTTAAACTTTCCATTTCTACTTCTTGGATGTACATTTAGAGGCTAGAAGGTGAGACCTTTAAGAACTTTTTTTCCTCCTAGGTTGCCAAAGAGCTCTTTTGCTTGCATTACCATGCAGGGCGACTTGAAGCAGACTTGATTATTTCCTTATATGCCTGCATTATGTAGGACCTTCTCTAATGAAGTTGGTGTAATTGGAAGTTATGAAGTTATTTCACGTTTTTTCTAATGTACAGAAATAATGAATATTTTGAAATCCAGTGTATCTTCAGTTAAGATTAATAATTAAATAAGGCTCAACTTCAAAATTAATTGTAGTTGCATTTTTGTAAGTAACTTTGCCATTAGATGTAATGAGATTTATCTTTAAAGTTCCAGCTTGCTTTGGCATCAATTTCATGGATCCTATCCTTCAAAATTACATTAGTACATAATGTCTTTGCTAATTTTAGTTGATCTTCCTGAGAAACTATTTATGTCTCAAATAGCATCAGTTTTCTCAGCAACAAAGATAAAAGCCTCCTTTCATAGGCGATGATAATTAAACACTAAGCTAACACTTTTGTGGTTTTCTGAGCACTTCATACATCTGTGAACTGCTCAGCTCCCTATACAGTAAATGGAAACATAAAAGGTAATAAGCTAGAAATAATGAACTAGCTAAATGCTTCCCTTGTAAAATGTGGACTGAGGAGCTGTAGGTGCCTAGTTCCTCAAGGGAATATTGTGTATGTGCTGGATTATAAAGATCTTGCTGATCCAGGAGCTTTTGTTCATGCTTCAGCTTAACATTTAGCTATTCTGTCAGTGCTCTGCAGACAGGTCACACACGTGATCCCCTTGCAAGCCCCACCAAGATGATATGAAAGGGAACCAGAGCCTAGTGCCTCAGCACTGGAGAGGGAACAGGGTAGCCTGTGTGGAGCTGGAGACAGTACTTGGAACACATGCCATCTCCTGAGGGACAGCTGCCTGTGCCATGGCACGCTGCAATATCTGCACCCTGCACTGTGCAAACTTTTACCAACCAGTATCTTATGTGCACTGAAGCTCCAGTTTCCAAATCTCGGCCTGCAAAGATAAGCATGTGCACCTGTCCAATCAAATGCTAAATAAATCAAATCAATATATTTATACCATACTTGGCTGTATGTAAATACTGTATTACACCATACAGTATATTTACACCATACTTAGGGGCAGGTTTGGCAACAGAAGACCTGGCTTATGTGACAGGATTGATCTCCTTCCATTTGGGGATAATCAATTACATGAAAAGACCTGGTGCCAGAGTCACTAACCCTGTGCCCTGGTCTGTGCACATCTGTGCAGAAGGCTCCTTGGTTACCTCACCACAGAACCCGCGTGGTGGCAGGAGACGGGCCAGGGCTCTTAAGTGTCTGTTGAGCACCAAGCTTCCTGCAGGTGCAAGGTAAGTTTGGGCATACATCAGTGTGGCTTTGTATCACACAGAGAGCAATGCACAGAGACTCTAAGAGCTCAGCAATGCTGCCATGATCTGATACTTATTTCAATGACTACATAAAATCCAGCAAGATTCTGGTGCTGGCAGCTTAAAAAGGTATTTTTTTTACCTCTGGGCTGAGGAAACTCAATTCTCTTACTTAGGCATTAGGACTTGAAAATGTCTCTGTCCAGCCAAATAATGAATTTCCACAGCACCTTTCACAGCGAGCTCTAAATATTTCTAGTAGTCGGCAACTGCCTTTTTCACACAGTGCTGAAAACACCACCGAAATGCAGCACCTGCTCAAAGGCTTTATGGTCCTGGGCACCAGCATTACACAGCCCTAAGTCGTAGAGCTGCAGTGCAGCCAACAATCGACCCGTGTACGCGCCACGTAAGAGCCTCGCCAGCCCCCACGGCCTGAGCTCTGGCTTGGACGTGGTCCGAAGCGCAGGATGGGAGGGTGCGCGGCAGCTCCCTGCTACGGGCAATGTCCAGAGGGCTGGCCGGGCTGCGGGCGGCCTCACCTGCGCGCGGCCTCCTCGATGCTCTCGCCGGGCTGCACCTTGCCGCCGAAGCCGTTCCAGAGCCCCGCTCCGAAGCCGCGCTTCTTCATGCCCAGGAGGACGCGCGGCGGCTGCACCACCAGCACCAGCGTGAAGAGCCGGGACGTGAGCATGGCTCCTGCGTGGGCCGAGCAGCGGGGTTGCTCAGGATGCGCTCAGGATGTGGAGGCCAGCACTGCCTGGCACCCCCTCCCCAAATCCGTGGTCCCCTGGTGTCCCTAAGTGACCAGACACCTTGGGCAGCACCCCAACTACCAGCCCTCCCTCCCCGAATGTCCCTGCCCCTCTCAGGGCCCCATAATCTCAGGACCCCATAATCTCTAAACCCAGCACTCCTATCGAAATGCGTCCCCAAACGCCTGGTCCCCAACACCCCTGCCCAGGTCCTTGTCCCTCCAGCTCCCTCCCCACACACCCCGTCCCCCTGTGCGCGCCCTGGGCTCGAGCCTTTGCTCAGCACCTCTAACCCGAGCAGCTGCTCCCCAGGACATCACACAGGCCCTTAGCCCCACCAGCACTGCCTAAATCCCACTCCTTTCCCCAAATACCTGCCCTTCCTCCCAAACCCGGTCCCCCCAGCACCTGACCCCGCGCAGCGGCCCGGCCCGGCCCGGCAGACAGCGGCGGCCCCGGCTCTTCCCGCGCGGCGCCGTGCCCGCC